TCACCTTGGCCACCCAAAACATGGGGATTATAGAGAGAGAGAGAGAGAGAGAGAGAGAGAGAGAGAGACAGAGAGAGAGAGCCAAAGGTGAATTGGTTATCCTGGTGGATGTACACAGGCCCTTGGGGGTGGGTGACTGATGGCTCCACAGCACCATGAACTGTGGTCAGGAGGTCCGGAGCCCTCTGAGGAAAGGACTCATGCAGGCTGGGTCCACACACAAAGCTGGAGAGAGCCAGGAGATGTCATACTTTGCTTTAGGGTCCAGGGGTAATGCCCAAGAAGTATCCCAGACAGAGGTAAGAACTAGGATCTCCTGAGCTTGAACTGTGAGTGTCCTGTGAGAGGACCTGTTCTCACAGTGGTCACAGAAAGTTCAGCCCAGCTCTTGTAGGGTTACAAGCCTTTGGTCAACTCCAATAAATCCAGGCCCTCTTGCTGTCTGTCTTAAGTGACAGTATCTTCTCTTTAGGGGATGGCTATGGGAGCCCTGAGTATGATTTGGAGCCCTTGCCTTCTTGCTACTGTCCTCAAGAGCATGGGCCAGACTTGGCACAGCACAGGATATGCCTTGTGAGCTCCCAGGAGCTTCATGGTGGGGAAACTCTGTGTTACCAAGATGGTTGCCCAGTTATTCTGATGTTCAGTTCCCACTAGCAGGACACATACTGAGCAAGCACACAGTTGGTCAGATGGTAAGTGATATAATTAACTTGGAAGTTTTTGAAAAAGACTCATCAAAACAGGACTCAAATTGTGTTCACCTATCCAGTCCCTTCCTTTCAAATCCTCTCTTTCAGATTCTGTGAAATGAAGGATGTGTACCTATACAATTTTTCAGAGGGGCAAGTAGCTACCACTGGGAGGCCTTGGCACAGCAGGAAATGTGCAAGTTTCGTGAGGGTATTAGTGCTAGGAGGTGCTGACTTGGGCACTTCAGAAGGTAGACAGGCTTAGAATCAAACTTCAGGAGTCACTTGGGACCTTATGATAAGGTCAGTGCAGAAGGCCCCGGAACACACAGTCAATTTCATACTAGAACTGTTTCAGGTTCTGCGCAGGTTCAGAGGCCTCCCCACAGACAAGAGGTGCCCAACACGCAGCACCACTTCCTTTCAGCCCTTCCCTCCAGGCAAGAAGGCTTGGTTCCCAGGAGGTCTAGGATTAGGGTAAGGAGGGCTGACTTTAAGTGGTGATTTCTAACTTAAAGGCTCATAAAAGGATAGAGCTCCTTATTTCCCTATTCTAGTTATTGTTTGACAAAGGGGTGAAAGTAAAAGTCCCCACCATGGAGACAGATACAGTCTGATACATCGGGGCTTGGACTCAGCAGGGAAGCCCCAAAGAGCACTGGCTGCAGATACAGGCGACCAAGTGACCTGCTGAGATCTGTGGGTTCTGGGACCATATTTTGTCAAGGCCTCCTCCTCTGGACAGATGATGGAGCCTGGGCTCAGGGACCCATACTCAGTCTCTGAATTGCAGCTGTGAAGGCTGTGCCAGGGACCCTGACACCATGGGGATGGTACAGGCCCAGCTCTCAACCCTAAGCTATGTTAGGACCCATGAGGTCTCCTCGGATGGGCTCTTGGTGTTCTTGGTTCATGTGAACTCACAGAATAAATGTGCCAACTTCCACAGCACTACTTTTACCTGCAGACTTGAGAATGGAACTAAATCCATAAATAAAGTTAATTTAAACTTTTAAAATTTAAACCCATTTTTATCAGCATGAGTCTGCATCAAAGCTAGGAAAAGTACAATTTTCCTCACCCCACACACCCTCTTCATTTTAGGGTTACCAATTCCCCCACTCTAGCCTAGTGTCAGGTACCAGGATACCTAAGAAAGTATGAATTCGAATTATTGTCTTCTAAGTAGCTCATATTTTAAACACTTCTACATCATAAAGAATATAATCCAGCATGGTCAGAGAAACTGAGTTCTGGTCAAGCAGATGTTTTTGCCAACAGAAAGCAATTTTTTTAAAGGAATACAATAAACATTGTAAACTAAAACAAAAAAATGAAACCAGTGAAAGTTGCAGTTAGTTGAATACTCAATGTTTGTAAATTCCAATTACAAATACTACATTTTGTGAAACTAATAATGTTTTAACTTTTTTTTTGTTGTTGAGACGGAGTCTTGCTCTGTTGCCCAGGTTGGAGTGCAGTGGCACAATCTTGGCTCACCGTAACCTCTGCCTCCCTGGTTCAAGCAATTCTCTTCCCTCAGTCTCTCGGGTAGCTGGAATTACAGGTGCATGCCACCACACCCAGCTAGTTTTTGTATTTTTAGTAGAGACAGGGTTTCACCATGTTGGCTAGGATGGTCTCGATCTCTTGACCTTGTGATCCCCCCACCTCGGCCTCCCAAAGTGCTAGGATTACAGGCGTGAGCCACCCCGCCCTGTTGCCCAGGCTGGAGTGCAATGGCAAGATCTCGGCTCACTGCAACCTTCACCTCCCAGGTTCAAGCAATTCTCCTGCCTCAGCCTCCCGAGTAGCTATGGTTACAGGCACACCTGGCTACTTTTTGCATTTTTGGTAGAAACATGGTTTCACCATGTTGGCCAGGCTGGTCTCGAACTCCTGACTCCAGGTGATCCACCCGCCTCGGCCTCCCAAAGTGCTAGGATTACAGGTGTGAGCCACCATGCCTGCCCTGATTAACTTTTTTTCTAATATTCAGTTTTGGTTTTAAAATATTAAGTACCCACCATTAAGGCATCTTACTGTTTCCCACTTATAATTCTACGTGATTTTGAATATCTCAGAGAATAATTTGGAGGCTTTATGTAAAAATTGTCAAGTAAAAAACACATTTCTCATTTTAGTCAGAGAAAGTTAGTTGAGTCAATAAGGTATTTGGGGGGAAAGAGAAAGATAATAAGTAAGGATGGCATTTATGAGGAAAGTGGAAGTCATACTGGACACGGCCAAGCCCAGCTGCAGTTTTAATACAGCCATCAACCATATCTGTCCGTCTGTCCAGATGAGGCAAAAAAGAGGGTGTGTGTCTAAGGCAAAAGGGAGGAGGTTGGCAGGAAGAAGGCCCTTGGGCACTCAAGTCAGACTGCCCAAGGTCATAGCCACTTACTGGCTGAACAACCCTGGGCAAATTGCTTACCCATCTGTAAACTGGGGATAATGAGAGTTTGTTGTGAGAATCAAATGAGATCATATATTAACACACTGGCACAGTACATGACACATAGTAAGTGCTCAATAATGTGAGCTAGCTACAGTAGAACTGTTAGATACAAGGCGAACCTTAGCTCCAATGGACAGTTCAGAAGAGCACTTCTTTGTAAGTAAGGACCACGGTAAACTATAATATCCACAGTCCAACAAGGAGACAAAATTATGACAGGTAGTCAAAGACTGGTTGGGCCTGGTCTGTGGTTGGTTTATTATCATTATTGGTGTGCTTTCACCCAAATTCTCATGATCTAAGGCCATAGCCAGTTAGTGGTCAGAGAAACTGAGCTCTGGTTATGTAGATGTTTTGGCCAACAGAAAGCAATTTTTAAAAAAGAATATTTGACTTTTGAAAGTTTACACTCTGCTTCCCAGTTGTAAGAGTCCTTGTTCACATCTTTGACTACCTTGGTTTACACAGTCCTCACGGGCTAAGCTTCCTGCAAAGCTACAAACCACTGTACCTGCCTCAGTCAGGCCTGCCCTCTCAGCCCGCAGAACCCAGCTGGGACTTACTTCCAACCTCTACCAGCCCTGCTATGTGCCCCTGTTCCAGTGTTAACTCCGGGCACCAAAACAGTAGGCATTAGTGCCTTTCCTAGAGGCAAGTCGCATTCCACAATAGGACTCCTTGGTCACCAACCCCAACAGGAAGAACACCTGGAGTTTGCAGAGAGTTTACTATCTGTTAACATTTTGAGAGCAGATATGAACCTACATTTTGATGCACTCCCACCACCTACTAGATGCCAGGCATATTATCAGATGCTTTCAGAGTCATTATGCCATTTAATCTTCAGACCCAATGAACCTCAGTCATTATCCCCATATTACACATTGCCAAGTTGGCAGACAGGTAATAAAATATGCCCCACCTAGGAACTGGCAGGCCAAAAGAGTTCATCAACAAAAACACTCAACTGACTTGTGCAGTATCATTTTGACCCTCCAGACCCATCCCACAGAAAATGCCAAAGATGGATTGGATGCTGCACTTGCAGACTAGGAGAATAGTTCATTTCCTCCTTATTTGGGTGTCCCTGATGGGAGGCAACAGTGAGTTGAGTTCTGATTCCACCCATTATTCAATCCTAAGCTACTGAAAAATGCCTCTAAGCCTCCACCATGTCCTCTGGAAACTGGGGATGATGACAATTTCGACTTTGGATGCTGCTTTATGAGGGTTAAATGAGGTTAAATGATGAACTGGGAAATGCTTGGCACATCAAAGAGCTCCACTGGGGCCATTATGATTCCATGATCCTTACACTGGATGGCAGTGCTCCTTGATGTGTTTGGACCAGTGCACCAGAAAGGCTGCCATTACCAAGTCAGACCATCAAGACTTAAAGACTGAAGGTATTCAAATTAGGTGTCTGGCCCATATTGTGGTTACATCCTCTAGGATTTTGCCCCTACCCATACTCTGCTGTCACTGACTCACTGCATACTCGTTCTTCCATTGTTTTGCTAAGGAAGCCCAGCCACTGCTCACCCAGGAGGGCACCCCTACCCACTCATCCTCACTATTTCAGCCCATAAAGAAGCAGGTTGAGCTAGCAATGAAAGAACTCAGGACTGAAATCCAACTGGAATCCACAAGAAGGAGCACAGTGAGCCTGCAGATGTCAGAGCACATTCAATTCCAGCCATGTTTCAGGAACGAGCAAAAAATATTCACTCCAGAGTATGAGACCTGCTCCTCAGATGAGTTCATATGTTCTCGGGACACGTAAACTCATTGAATAAATGTGGCTCAATTTCCAGATCTGGGAGGAGAAGTAAATCCATAATTAAAGTGCTAAGCTAAAATTTTATTTTTATATTAAATAAGGTATGGAATAGATTGCAGAATTTACATTAAAAAATACCAAAAAATCACATTTTAGAGGGCCAATTTGGGCTAGGCCCCTTGACCACTAGGTTTTTTCATGATCTCTTTCCTATGCCCTTTAAGAAAAACCTGATGGAAAAAGTTGTCAGCTTTTTTTTCTAATGGTATTCTTTAATGAAAATAAACCCATTTCTGCAGACAAAGTCATATCTAGGACCTTAACATCACATAAACTCATGTCTCTGGACGATGTAAGAATTGTGCCTCAGGGTTCCTCCTCATCTTAATCAAAGGGAAAGTTTTTCAAAGGCATCTATTCTTAGATGTGTAATTGACAAGCTTACATATTTATGAAATTAATTTTTTTATAAACTTGAGAATTTTCTATTCTGTATTACAGGATCTTACCAACAGTATCATTACAGCTGCGTTCCTCTCAGTCACTGCCTTCTTGGCCATGCAAGAAAAGAAAAGAAGACATTTATTCTATGTTGGAGGGGTAGGTAGAAGCCTGCATGACTCCATTTAAGATCAGTATTCCAAAACTGAAAAGGGAAATTAGCAGACTCCATTAGATCATTAACCAAGTAGAATTCCCACTGCCACCCACTCTCCTTCTTGCACTGACTTCTTCAGATGATACGAAGTTGCACCAACTCTGAGCTCATGAAAATCTTAATTCTAATATGCATTCTCCGAATAGGTACAAAAGCAAGAGTCTGCTAAACCCCTTTTGAGAATTGTACACACTATTTTTGAAATGTTAAGCAAGATCTTTTCATCTATAAATAGGACTTTGATCTTCTGGACTACAGAATTGTATTTTAAAGACAGATAAAAAGAGAGATTGTAGGGGGGGAAGTGCACTGTCAAAGTGAGTAATCCAGCCTATTCAAGAAGGAAGGCAGGAAGAAGCCTGCCACATGTCGAATTGCCCAGTATATGCCCTGCACCAGGCTAGGCACATTCTGACTTCATCTTTACAATCTCATTTTTACAGATAGAGGAACTGAGGTTAAATACCTTGCTGTGGGTCACAAGACTGGGACAAACTGGGACTCAAACCCTCATCATATGGAAGAACACAAGAAATGGCAGATCAAATGCTTGGAAGATTCAGGGGGTGGGGGTGGGGAGGTAGGGCTTTGGTTCAAGAAGTTAAACAGTGAGAACAGAAATTAACGAAGAAAAAAAAAAGTTTATTTGACTTCATTCCATAATCAGTAAATATCTGTCAATCCCATTGGATTGTGCCAGACCTGAGCTCAGTGCTGGGATGAAGCCCCTTCCTCTTTGGGGAAGCTCACAGATTTGCTAGGGCAAAGCATACCTAGGAAAAGCTCATTAAGCCGCCAGGAATTAAGTGACCATAAAGAGAAACATCCAAGCCTGTCAAGAGTCCTGGCGTGCACAGGGGAATATCTGTGCCATGGGCACCCCCCACGTCTGCCAGGGGTTCCCACTCCCAGGTCTCCATTTCTTCTTACTGGATGGCAGCTATCCCACATCCCAACCCTCACTGGTCTTCCTGCCTTCAGCCTGGTTCACTTTCCATTCACCTCATGGCCACTGCAAGTGGGTTTTCTGAGTCTCACGCCTGACCTCTTGATAAGAGTCCCAGATCCTGCACCTCTCCAGCCTCAAGTCTGCCCCCTTCTCAGCGGCCCCGGAGGTCCTGACTTCACCAGATTCCTTAGAGACCTTAGTCTAGTGCCTGGGTTACTCTCCTCCCCTTAGGAACTCCTTCCTGCCCTTTGCAAACATAGCCCAAAAGTCTTTCCATGGGGAAGCCTTCTCAGGACTCACCCCTACCTGCAAACGCTTAGGGCCAGTGCCCTTCCCTGGTCCTTTCCTGGTGCCTCAGGCATCAGGCGAGGCTACTACTGGCAACAAAATCCCCTGTTTCCAAAATCCCTTTTTCTGGGAAAGGCAGAGTGGGCCTGCCGCAGCCAACTGGGGTAGTGAAGGGTCAGAGGGGACAGGAGGCCGCCCGCAGCGCCCGCCCTGGATGGAGGTAGGTTCGAGACCTTGTTACCGAGCTGCAAAATAACCCCGCCTTTCCTTCCCGCATATGGTCTTGTATCTGACAGTCCCTGTGTCTCACAGCGGTAATCGTGTGTGGCATCGATGCGTTTGTGGTCACCAAGACGATGAGGACTAACTTGAAAAAATTCCTGGGAGTCGAAGTCGAAAGCACGGTTTCCCCTGCCGGGAGGACTAACTTGAAAAAATTCCTGGGAGTCGAAGTCGAAAGCACGGTTTCCCCTGCCGGGGATGCCTACCCTGAAACCGGCCCCGACGCCCCGCAGAGGCCCGCCTGACGCCAGCCCCGCGCCCTCTCAGATGCAAGTGTCTGTCGAATCGCTACCTCTGAGCCCACCCCCGAGCTCGCATACTGTCACCCATTCCGGCCTAAATGTGACCATAAAATCAGGGCTGCTGCTTTTATCGAGAACGCCTGCTTCCTCTCGTTGCCTTGTGAAAGTCGCGTTGTATTTTTCTGCCCATGGCGCTGCGCCCGCGGAGCTCAGGGCTGTGACCCGGTGCTCGCAGCCCCCTGACCTGGCAACGGAGCTGCAGCTTCCAGACCTCAGGCCGCCTGGCGACTCCGGGCTGGGACCGCGAGGGCAGCTCCGCGCCGAGGTGGGACGGCAGGTAGGGAACGGAGGTGGGGCCCATCGGGGGCCCGCACGTGGAGAGTAGGCGGATCCGGCAGCTGCGCGCGGACGCGGGCGCGCGTGGAGAGGGGGCGAGAGTTGGCATTCGGTGGTCCTGGCGGTTAGCTGAGTGGGCCTTTTGAGCCGCTCGGTGGACACCAGGCTCTCTGGTAGGCCTGGCCTACTCAGAAACAGCAGGAGAGAGAAAAAACAGGCCGGCTGTGAGAAGCCAAGGACACCGAGTCAGCCATGGCACCTAAGGCAGCAAAGGGGGACAAGCCAGCAAAGGGGGACAAGCCGGCAAAGGGGGACAAGCCGGCAAAGGGGGACAGGCAGGCGGCAAAGGGGGACAAGCCGGCGCCAGTGTCAGCTCCACCTCCAGCCAAAGACCAACCCGCCAAAGACCAACCCGGAGAGGATGAGGACGATGAGGCGGCAGCACCGAAGAAACCCAAGTCAGTGCAGCCCAAGCACGAAGTGGGCACGAGGAAGGGGTGTCGCCGCTACCGGTGGGAATTAAAAGACAGCAATAAAGAGTTCTGGCTCTTGGGGCACGCTGAGGTCAAGATTCTGAGTGTGGTAAGCTGGACTGGTATCCCTGGGTGGGGGGCCTTGACCAAAGGTGGGGGAAAGGAGGAGCAGGCTCCAGGTGTCCTCAGAAAGATGGTGAGAGGCCCTTGCTGCTGGTTCAGGTGTCTGTCTCACTGCAGGTCTGCCTAATAGTGGCAATGATGCTGTTCTCCTCACTCACCGTGCACCCCATCTTGAAGCTTATCATCACCATGGAGATATCCATCTTCAGCTTCTTCATCTTACTGTACAGCTTTGCCATTAACAGATACATACCCTTCATCCTGTGGCCCATTTCTGTAAGTAAGGGGCAATGGAGAGTGCCTGTGTCCAGAATGCTGATCATGTGTGTGTGTGTGGGGGGGGGGAGCACCTGGAAAGTCACCAGAGAGACACACCTCACCTCCCATATCTGTGCCTGAGTCAGGGGCTCAGAGCATCAATGGGGCCCAGGCAGAGGCAGCTGGGTGCAAGAGGGATAGCTAGGCAGAAAATGCTCCAAAAAAGCCTACCTGTGTGTTGGAGTGACAGTGTGGAACTCTTACCTACCCGGTGGTCAAAGAGAACCTGACCCTTTGCTCTCTTTAGAGGGAAGGGAGGTGTAGCAACCAGTTGTTCCTCTGAACTCCTGTGCCAGCTCACACTTAACTGGAAGATCGCCCCAGAAGGACCCCAACCCCAAAATTTAAAGACGAAAATTACTCTCCCATAAATCAATAAAATAAGACAAAATGAGATTTTTTTTAAAAAAATCACTTCTAAAGCAGTGTTAGGTCTCCAATTAATATCTCTATAAAGGATGTTTGGATCAGAAGGATGTTGAGCCCAAAGCAGTCATCTAGTGGAATGAGACAGAACTGGGCAAGTTAATGAACCATTCCCAGCCTGTTTCCTCATCTGTAACATGGGGACAGTCATAATTCCTTGCAGAGTTGACATTTAATCCTGAGGATTACATGTAAATTGCTTGACACCGTGCCTGAGGACTCATGGAGTTGAATCCCTGCCCATCACCTGTGTAATCACAGGGCACATCCACCTAACCCCATGCCAGTCAATGAAAACCCCAATTCCTAAGTCCCTTTGTTCATTGCACATTCACAGCCTGGCTCTAGAGCCCTCTTGTTCACTGTTTCACTCACTTTACACATGAGGAAACTGGCTTAGAATGGCCAAGTAACTTGCCCCCAGGTCACTCAGCAGGTAAGTAGCAGAAAAAAGATTCAAACTTAGCTTTATGAGTATATTTTGTCCTGCCTCCTTGTTAAAAACTGTTAGGGTCCAGGGATCCATAGGTCTTGATGAGGTAAATGAGGACCTCCAATACAGGAAGAAAGGACAAGAGGGCCAAATAAGGACTCTCAGAAAAGGGACAAGCAGAAGACAAGGTAAAAGGACAGGCAGAGGACAAGTTCCTCAACAAGGAGGCTGAGAAGACATTTTTAGTTCCAGCAAGATGTAAAACCAATGAACTCTGAAAATCTTCCTGCTGTGCTTACCTAAAAATATCAGGGGAAATGCAACCAGTATTTAACTTTAACTGAATGAATGAGCTGGCAAAAAAGAAATGGAAACACACAGGCGCCAGAAATGAAAAACGGGGCAGTGATCACATAAGCTACAAAGTATGAGTGGGAATGGTCCACAAGGCATTGTCTCAGGAAACTACAGCATGGATTTTCATGCACTCTCAAGTCAAGAAATAAGGCCTCGATCCTAAGCAAAGTGGGAATTTAGAACTGAAAACCCTGTATAAAGCTAGCACCCTGGAAAGACTACCCGCTTAGGGAAAAGACGGACAAAGACACATACCATTCTTATTACCAACACAGAGAAATAAGGAAACATGTTCATCTCTGCCTGAGCTTTGAGTGGGGGGAGAAGTCTTCCTTGAGAAACAGAAACCTTGAGCCTGCCCTTTGTACAGATTGGAGTTTGAATTATTATTACCTGCAGCCCAGAAACCTTGATGCAGCCCAGAAACCTTCATCTCTGGGAATTACCATAAAAATTGATCCCAGTCTGTTGATATTCTGCTGTTATCCTTGGATTCCTGATAGAACCAAATGCAAAATCACGATCAAGGCATGAAAAGATTCTCACAGTGGGGAGGGGGAAAACCTTGTCAAAAATGAACTAACAATTAGAAACTACAAAACACCTGATTAAAAAAAGAAAACAAAAAACCATTACTAGGAATCAAGAATCAACAAAAATGCCACAAATGGATTAGAATCCTGAGAATATGCAATAATAGATCTGTCTGAAAATAATAATATATTTTAAATGATCACAGACATAAGACTCCTGAGAAAAGAATAAGATACTATGAGGGCAGAATAGACAGACTTTTTAAAAGTACAGTGTCTAGAATAGAAAATATAGTTATTGAAATAAAAATGTCAATAGATGAATTCACAAACAGATCAGAGAGCTGAAAAGAGATCTGTTAACTGAAAGGTATGGGGAAATTACCCAGAACACAGCACAAAGAGAGAGAGAACATGAGAAAGAGATTGAGATAAAACATGGAGTGAGGCCGGGCGCAGTGGCTCAAGCCTGTAATCCCAGCACTTTGGGAGGCCAAGGCGGGTGGATCACAAGGTCAAGAGATCGAGACCATCCTGGTCAACATGGTGAAACCCCGTCTCTAC